TCTTCTGTCTCCTTAAAAGGAGGATCCCTCTCTGAGGTCTTAATAGATGGTTACAACGAAGAATTCGTGCTGCTGAAACCGGTTTGGCTCAGTGAATAGAGCGTCGGCCTGCGGACTGAAGGGTCCCAGGTTCGATTCCGGTCAAGGGCATGTAACTTGGTTGTGGGCACATCCCCAGTAGGGGGTGTACAAGAGGCAGCTCATCGATGTTTCTCTCTCATCGATGTTTCTAACTTTCTATCCCTCTCTCTTCCTCTCTGTAAAAAAATCAATAAAATATATTTTTTTTAAAAAAGAATTTTGCTGAAGGGTAAGTTGTGCCGACACACCCACGGATGCACAGGCCTGGCCGCCTGCTAGGGGAGCAGCTCAGACACACTCAGGAGGATTTGTGCGTGTGTGGGAGGCGCTGGGCCGGAGAAATGCTGGGGGAGAGGCGACAGAGAGATTAAGACGCCTGTCTCTCAAATCCGATTTTTATTATTGCCTTCATTATGCTTGGTTCAGGTGGCCTGACCCTTCCCGCTGTCTTTTTATCTTCTGATTTTCCAAAAGGGGAAAGATGACATTTGACTAATGAGAAATTCATGTCCCAAACTCTTGCAGTCATGTTGGTGCATCTTTCTGTAAATTGTGTCCAACTACAACCGGAGGTCTGAGAAGAAACCATTCATGTGTTAATTAGGCTCCTGATTTTATTTATTCACTCAGTCAGCATTTCAAGCCTCCCCAGGAAGAGGCTATTTCTTAGTTATCCTATGTACCAAGCCCATAGTACGACTGCTAGCCTGTGGGAGGGACTCCAGGTATATCCAATTGCTTTTAATACATATCACAGATATTAACCTGTCCTGTTCTGTAATTACAGAACAAATAGCCACTCTATTCCTAGTTGGGGCCTTCAAGAAACTTACAATCTTTTTTTTGTGTGTGTGTCAAGACAATTATCATGTTAACGAAAACATGACTTAAATTGTCCTAGTCGACACTGACACAGTGTCAGGAAATAGTTTTGTGTTTTTTTTTTTTTTTTTGTCAAGAGTCAAATAAGTAGAAAAACTGAAAAGTGTCATGAGAAAATAATCCCCCAAAACCATGGTCACAGGGAGGGCCGCAGCCCAGCACCACTCTCTGGGAGGAAGGCAGCCAATCTCTGAACACGTGTGGTGCCTCTCTGCCGGGCACCTGGGATTTGATCCTGCTGTTGGTCAAATTAAGTAGCAAATACCCCCAAAGGCCCCTATAACATCTCAGCAAATAAGCACTGAAAATCTGAAAATGTTCCCCAAATGTCAGAGCAACATCTAAAAGCTTTGGGCATTTTTTCTAATGATCTCTATTTTGTGTTTTCCTCCTCGGTCATCATCCTTTGGGTAATGGGAGAAGCGAAAGGACTTAATGATGCTCAGAGGCCATTGTGAATACAGGCTACAGGATTTATCCCTTACATTCTCCCTTCTAATTTTTTATTATTTTAAAATTCCCTTTCATTATTTTACTTTCCTGCACAGTCCTTCTTTTTCCCTTCTCATTTTCTGTTCCCAATAAATACTAGCTCAAAATATCAGTACTCTTATCAAAAATGATAGTTTGCTTGCAAGACAAAAATCTATTCTCCAAAATACCTTGATCTACTTACATCTCCCATAACAGTATTCCAGAAGATGCTCTGTGTTAATTCAGATACTCAGACAGAGGATATTTGAACAGCATGGCATAGTTTGAAGGTGGGGGTACGGAAGTTTGCAGTTTCTATTAATATTTCAAATTCTTGACCCTATCCTTAGATGGATTTAGAGGCACAAACATACTTCCTTAGGTTCTAACATCTAGAAACAATATATTAATTTATTTACAATGTATATTTTAGTGCATATTGGAACCCATATTCCTTGTTGACATAGCAATGAAGTATAGACATTGGAGGTGAATAAATATACAGAAAGGAGAAACATCTCCCAAATTTGTTATATTCTTTTTTTCTCATTTCACCAAAAGCTAGGATGCATTTCCTAAGGGCTCCAGGGTACAAATCTGAGTTACTTAGTGTAGTAGAATTCAGATGAGTTGTTTTGGGAACAAATATAAGGAATTTGCTCACTTTCTTTTGCATAAATCCTTGATTATGAAAGCTGTATGAATTACAAAAATTTATAGCTTCTTTCAAAGACCTTTTAATAAACAAGCACTTAAATCAACTTGGTAAATGAACCTGTATAAAAGTGGCAGTACATGTCTGGGAGGTTTCTTACCAAACTGTTATGAGTAGTTAGCCCTTTGCTGGACAGGGGGAAAAGAAGTCTTTAAACTGAGCTGCCGATGTACTTCAACTTGTTATGTGTTCTAAAATCTCTTTCTTTACAGGAGGATCAGGATTACAAACTACAATCTCCACAGAGATGGAACTAACAGATTTTCTGAATTGGGTTCATCAGCTATAGATTTTTAGAAGTTTTTCAAATCGGGGATTTCAGGAAATTGAACAATTTTCCATGAGAATGGCTTTTTGTTTCCACCAGTTCTGAGTTTAATATCACTCTTCCTTCCCCTGACCATTAGCATTCAGGAACAGTGCCTGCTGTCTTGGATGTGCGCTGCTTGGATGAGAATGAGACATTTCGTGTTGGCTCCCTTCTGTAACGGTCCTGGAGAGAATGCTGACAAAAGAGGACGGACAGAAATGCAGGTACGTACATGGATACCTAACAATTCAAGTACAAGTGCTTGGCAGAGCACTGCTCTTTATGTCAAGGCTAAAGATGGGTCTACATTTTCACAGCCATCTTCTCTCATGGTGAAAGGCACCTGCTGATTTCCTCATTACAATTTCCAAAATTACAATTTCGACCTGTCTCGTCTTTATGGCCTCTTTGTAGCAAATGATACCATTGAACTGTGACACTGAAATGCTCATCTCTTGGCTGTCCACGCACTCCACTTTCTGGTTCTCCTTCTGCCCTTCGTATTGTCTTATTTTCTACTTATTTTACTTGTCTTTCTTCTTTTTCCTACATGAGAGGTCTGCCTCTGGCTTTCTCCTCTCTCTTTATAGTTCTCCCTCCTCCCCACCTCTCTCTAATATGATAGCCTCCATGGTGACTCCATATGGATAGTCACAGTGAAAACTGTAAATTACTGAGGCCCTAAACTCTGTGCTAAAATCACTTTACATATTATCTCACCAATATCCCACCAACATTTTCTGCCTTTTAGATGAGGAAGCAGAGTCTCAAGTAGGTTCAAAACTCACCCAAACTATCCAAGACCATACAACAAAATAAGTGAAGAAACCAAAGTTTGAGCCCATTACTCTTCTGGCTTTAAGATGCATACTGTTGTCACTACACTGTCCCTGCTAATCCATGACGTGGTCTCCAGTCACAGTGGCACAGTGCACTGAGGTACAGTCTCATAAGTGCCATCGTTTTATTCTTTTTTTAAAATATATTTTATTGATTTTTTTGCCACCCTCCCTCCCATACATACCCTCCCTCCCCAGAGTTTTATGTCCATTGGTTGTACTTATATGCATGTACATAAGTCCTTTGGTTGATCTATTATCTTCACCAGATCTTCCTCCCCTCTCCACTGTAATTTGACAGTCTGCCTGTTGCTTTACTGTCTCTATATCTCTTGTAATAATCATAACCTACACGTCTTTTTCCATATAAACAACTATAAACCTACTTTAAATTTACTAAAACTTTGATAAAGTATAACAATGTGAGGTCACACTTCCAATGTAATGATTTACAAGCTTTTATTCCCCATCAAGCAGAAACAATATGTTTCACACAAATAGTCCCTGAGCACTTTAAGATCAAGGCTATAAAATAATGACTGTAAGTTCATATCCTCAAAATGGTTACTTTTTTCTCCTAATTTAGAAGAGAGAGAGGGCAGAAAAAGATATATGGAATAAAATAATATTATGTTCTGTTTACTACCATATGAAGAATGCAGAGAAACAACTTATAGTAGGATGTAAATCAATAAAAATGCACTAGAAATGTGGAATTATAAAAATATAATTTACATTAAGTCTCCTGTGACATAAATTTTGTCAAGTAAGGTAAACTGCTGCAATATTAACTTGCACTCCTTAATATGTTAGCCTCTGAACATGTTCTTCAGATGCTCCCCATGCTATAGTTTGTCTTCCTGAGTGGATGGTAAGCTCCCAGAGTGAAGGCTAGAGAGCCACTGATGGCTGTCCTGTCACTTTGTGGTGTTCACCAAATGTCATCCTGGGCACCAAGCAGCAAAGAGGATCATGATGCTTCTAAGGCCTCATTCTCAAATAGCGAATGCAATTTTGCCAGGTGATTTTTGGAAAAAAGAAATCCAATACACAGCTAGGTTTATTAGAAGAATATGAGAATTTATATCAGATGCAATGACACTCACTAAATGTGTATCATGGAGACAGGAAAGCTGTACCTTTGGCTTCTCTTTAAGCCAGTCAGTTTTAATCATCTATGAAACAGATGAAGCTTTGGATCATAGACAACAATACCCTCTGTGCAACTCTACTAATATTAATGAGAAGTTATACGCAACTGGATGTGGCAGGATCACTGCAAATGAATTACCACTGCTGATACCTATGCAAAGTGCATGGAGACAGTATTTTCCCATTGAAATCGAACACTTCCTTAAACCTTGGAGTGCTGAAATTCAAGAAATATCTTAAAGTATGACTCTTCTGTTCACATTTGCCAATGGGAAAGTTCCAGGTTTTTGGAATTGAGGCATAGCAGGAGGTATGGAGTCAGAAGATTACAGATGGTGCAGAATTAATTCTTCAATAAATATCTGTGCACCTCCAATTTAAATTTGGTTTATATAACTAAGAAGTCCACTGGGAATCAGTGACTTAACCAGTATAGCAGTGACTGACAGTACGTTTAAAAGTTAACAAAATGGAACAAGGGTAGGGTAGAGAAGGAAAAGCACCCAAAATCCAATACAGTTCAAGATCAAATCCCCTGATCACTCACCACAATCATTTGAGCCACGTAACTTTCAGGTCCAGTGTATTCAGTTGGGTCTTTAACCTTCACCAAGACAAGGAAATACAAATAATGCCACATGTTGTGTTCTGACTTGATGTGCTCCTCAAATGACACAGTTTTATTATCAAACTTGTCCCTCTCGAGTCCTGCAGAACATGAGAAACACAAGGTATGTAATCTGTCATTTAACCAGCACTTCCTTCTTAACCTAAAAACAAAACACAATAATGTGTGAAAAAATGCTTTCTGTAAGCATGCGTCAAGTTACTCTGCTATGATTAAAAACAACATAATACATAAGACCTCCAGGAAAAAAAAAAAAAGGCCATAGTTTATGGATTTCTTCCCAACTAACATTTCTCCCCAATGGATTCTTGGGAATGTATTATTATAAGTATAAAATTTACAGATAATTTCAAATAGAACCATACCAAAATAGTGAAATTAAATTGGACCACAAGTCTAAGTACAAAAAGTAAAATTGATTGTGTAAGAAATGGCACACATGCTAATCAGGACAGAAGAAAAAAAGTCATTTAATCCAGGAAATTGGGTAAAATGAGGGAAGACAGCCAAGAGCCATCTCTTCAAACCACTTGTGACCAGTGAAGAGTAAGTGAATGTCTACCATGATCTGGGCTCTGAGTGCAATAAGGACTGAGAGACCCGTCCACACCTCAGATGACTGTGTTCCAGCCAGCCTAGGAAGGGGACCATCTGCTCAACTTCCGGGGCACATTTTCAGTCTCTGGATGGACAATGAGGAAAGAATCTGGGTAGTAATACTCTTCCCCCCCTCCCCCTCAAAAGTTGAAGATTGGATGAAAGGAAGTGAATGAAGATGAAGAAAAATATTCACGGAAAATGGATTAGGAGGCCAAGTAAAATGGGATGTTGGGATTCAGTCTGGTTTTGCAGTTCAGATATTAGAGAAGAAACCAGGAAATTGAATTCCAATCCTGGCTATTTTTTTTCCTAAGCATATTTTTTTAAAAAAAGAAAAGAAAAGGCCATTAAGCCATTCAGGCATGAAGAAGACCCTTTCAATATTAAGACACAAAGCACAATAAGTACAAAATCTGTCCCAAATGTAGGAGTGACCTTTTAAATTATATTATTGGATATTCTAATGGAAAATACCATAAAATTTAGCTGGCTGATGGCTATGCCTCATCTTATTTGATCTATCATCGGCTCAGCATGTCCCAAATAGAATTCAATCTTTTTTCCCAACCCTGCTCCACCCACAGTCCTCTTTTCATTCCATAGCAACACCATTCTTTCAGTTATTCAAGCCAGAATCTAAGAGTCATCCTTGAATCTTGAATCCATCCCTCTTCTCTCTCTCTCTCTCTCTCTCTCTCTCTCTCTCTCTCTCTCTCTCTCTCTCTCTCTTTCTCACACACACACACACACACACACACACACACACATACACATACACACCCCATCTATATTGATATTCTTCTGCTTCTACCTTCAACATATACCCAGAATCTGATCATTTCTCAGCACCCCCACCACTACCACTTAGTCTGAGGCATTAGCATCTCTCATCTGGGCTAGTACAATAGTCTCTCAGGAAATTAAACATACACTGACTGAAATAAAAAATATTATACAGAGACACAACAGCAGACTAGAATTATTAGACTAGAGAAAAGCAAGAATCAAGTCAAAGATGTGAAATACAAAGAAGCAAAAAATACTCAACTGGAAAAAGTGGGGGGGGGGGGGAAAGAATCCAAAAAGTTGAAGATAGTGTAAGAAGACTCTGGGACAACTTCAAGCATACCAATATCAGAATTATGGGGGTGCCAGACAAAGAGAGAGAGCAAGATACTGAAAGCCTATTTGAAGAAATAGTTACTGAAAACTTCCCCCATCTGGTGAAAGAAATAGACTTATAAGTATAGGAAGCACACAGAACCCCAAACAAAAGGAATCCAAACAGGACCACACCAAGACACATTATAATTAAAATGCCAAGGACAAAAGACAAAGAGAGAATATTAAAAGCAGCAAGAGAAAAAAACAGTTAATTACCTGCAAGGGAGCACCAATACAATTGTCAGCTGATTTCTCAACAGAAACTATGCAGCTCAGACGGGAGTGGCAAGAAATATTCAAAGTGATGAACAGCAAGAACCTATAACCAAGATTACTCTACCCAGCAAAGCTATCATTCAGAATGGAAGATCAGATAAAGAGCTTTACAGGTAAGACAAAGCTAAAGGAGTTCATTACCACCAAACCAGTATTATATGAAATGCTGAAAGGTATTCATTAAGAAGATGAAGAAGAAAAAAGTAAAGATAAAAATTATGAACAACAAATACATATCTATCAAAAAGTAAATCTAAAAATCAAGTGAATTAAAAATCTGAGGAACAGAATAAACTTGTGCATATAATAGAATCAGGGGCATAGAAAGGGAGTGGACTGATAATTCTCAGGGGGAAGGGTACAGGAGGTGCAGGAAGAGACTGGACAAAAATTGTTCACCTATGGATAAGGACAGTGAGGGGGGGGTAAGGGCAGAGGGTGGGGTGGGAACTGGGTGGAGGGGAGCTATGGGGGGGGAAGGAGAAACAATTATAATAATCTGAACAATAAAGATTTATTAAATTAAAAAAAATAAAATTCAAAAATAAATAAATCAAGTATTGATTCATGTTACTTACATTAATATCATACTTAGTGAAAGAGACAAGTCACAGAAGACCATATATTCTATGATTCCATTTATATGAAATATCCAGAATAGGAAAATCTATAGAGGCAGAGGTAGATCCATGGTTGCCTTGGGCTGAGGAGGATAAAAAATTGGGGGAGGGAGAATGACGAAGCTAAAGGGTATGAGATTTCTTCTGGGGACAATGAAAAAATTTCTAAAATTGATTATGATGATAGATGCCTAACTCTGAATATACAAAAACCACTGAATTGTATACTTTACACAGGTGGGTTGTAAGGTATATAACTCATACTTCAACAGAGATGTTACTCCAAAAAAAAAAGAGAGAAATGTTGGAGTCTATTTTCTCAGAATTCAATTTAAACAATTATCTACCTGTTGCAAGATACATAGCACACAAAGAAATAATGTGTTTACTATCAATTATGTAGAAATAATGTGTTTACTATCAATTAATCCATAATGTGGTGGAAGAAATAGACAACAGACATTCTGAAGTGGTATAAACTGCCAACAAAACATAGAGAAAGGCAAAATGAATTCTCACTAGATACATTTTAAATGGTTTTGAAGAGGTGTAAAGCTTTGAATGTCTGGCCTTAAAACACGATTATGGCAAGTGGAATGGTAATGAAAGATATTTAATTTTTATTTAGCACATATTTGTGCTGACAACTATAAAGATGTCTAAATATGCTATTAGAATTCCAATAATCCAATCTGACCTTTTAGCATATTGAGGAAACAGATTCAGAGGGATTCAATTAATTGCTCAAGTCAACACCTTGGTGAGTGGAAAAGTCAGCCAGTATTTAAATGAAAATATTTCTGATGCCAAAGCCATGTTTTCTTGCCATCTGGGCACGGGAAATGACATGGCAAAGCTAGAGGTAAAAGTAGATGACCTGTTTGGGGGAGTGTCCATCCCTCTGATGTGGTTAGAAAGGAACACTGGGAAATGAAGATGAAATGGTACATTTGGCACAAACCATAATAAGCTTTAAGTACAAAGCTGAGGAGCCCGAACTTTCTTCTGAAGGCTTTGAGCAGAGGCAAGCACATTCAGAGCTGGGCTTTCAGTAACTTCCTGTGGCAGGATTTAGAGGAAGATGGTGGGAGAAGAGGCTGAGGGTGGAGGCCAGAGACCAGGGTGGTGGAGGGGAAATGAAAAGAGGGGATTGGTTATCTTTCATCTTCATTGGTTCTTGTTCTCTAAGCTTTGTTGTCTGTTCCCATGGCTTCAACCATCATCACGCTGGTGATTTCTCAACCTTTATCCCTTTCTTCTCAACTTCACTTGCTATTTCCAAAGCCCTCCTGGACATAAATCCTCCTGGATAGCTTACGGGCATGTCAAACTCAACTGATTAAAAAATTTGTTTCCTTAGCTCTTTTTATTCACCTCTGTTAATGAAATCTCTGTCAACCAAGGAATTTGAAGTGATCTTCAGACTCATGCTCTGACAATCCACTTCTTGTAATCACTCCGACTTTCTCATCATTCTCCAAACACATGAAGTCCTCTGAAAACTCAGTGCCTCCAGGTACTCTCTTTCATGCCTTCCAGGTATTCCTTCAAGACTCAGCTCAACCACTGCCACCACTCCGACTCCCACAGACATAGCCAGTTAGTTGATCCTCTCTGTGCTCATAATACTTTGCTACAAAAATGTGTCAATTTCTATCTCAGCCTCTACTACCTTATTGTCTGATGTATTTTTGTATTACCAGAACCTGTCATAGCAGCTGGTAAACAGTAGGCATTCAACTAAAGTTGACAGAGCAATTGAGTAAATCCATAGAGACTGGAGAGGAGCTTGGAATGAAAACTTAAGAGAGCATGACATGCAATTAATGCTATACATTTATGGGGAATTAAGAATGACTCTGAATTCCCTGACTTAACTGAGTTGAAGGTAATATCACTAAAGCAAGAGAAAAACAGAGTTGGGAGGGAGGATACATTTGATTTGGGATGTGCTGAGTTTAAGATGCTTGTAGAACAACCAAACTAGAGTGTTAGGTAGGAGGCTTCAAAAAAGAGAGTTCATTAGTAAATATAAGAATTCAAGGGTAAATGATAGAAGATGAACAATGAAAGCCAGGGTATTTGATAAGATGATCAAGGTAGAAAGAAAGAAAGCATAAGAGGAACTTCATGTGATCAACACTAGCTTTTCAGGAAAAATAAGACTATACTTATGCTGTCTCCTACCCAATATGACTAAAATAAAGGAACACAGCCACCTATCACAACCAGCATCCCAATTCATCTCCATAGCTCTTGTCATCATTTGACCTTCTACATACGTTGGAAAGTAATCCCAATAATGGCAGTGCTTTTTATCTATTTTTGTTCACTGCAATAGCCTGGCACATAGTAGATGCTCAATAAGTAATTGTTGAACAAATAAGTGAGTGAATGACTTTATATAGATAATAATGGAC